AGGCTGAAGGTCGGAGGCTGAAGATCTGGCTGAAGGCCAATGTTCCGTGGGCTTGTAAATGGGCTCATGGGTAAGCCCATGAGGCCCAAGTAGCCTGCCCAACTCTCTCTTTCTTGAAGGGGAGAGGTCTCCTTTTATAAAGAAGGGAGAGTCCCCTCCTATTGTGTTTTGTCGATGTGGGACTCCCTTCCCTTTGGCTTGGGAGTGTTTGGGGAGTGCTTGGCCAGATATTGTACAAACACTAATTTAAAAATAAAAAAAAATCCTCATCAGGTTTCAACAATCCATGACCTCAGGTTATTGATTTTTCTTATGTCTCTTGTGTTTCAGTCAACCAAAAATGTGAAAACTACTGTTGTGATGCTAATTGTAAAAGAACATCAGAACCACTCATACATGTGTTTTAATTTTGCAGTCCATTTTTGGGCTCCAACTTTTAAATGGGGCGTAACCATTGCCAATATTATCGACTCTTCAAAACCACCTGAGCAACTCTCCTACGTTCAGCAATCAGGTTGGTTTAATAGATTTCTCTCTCTCTCTCTCTCTCTCTCTCTCTCTCTTTGTTTTTTTGAGGTCTCTGATAGAAATTTCTGTTTGTTTTTTTGAGGCCTCTGATAGAAATTTTTGTCATCCCCATTTTATCCAGCCCTTACATGCAATGGACTTATATGGGCAAGAAACAGCGCAGTAATTACACCAGTAATTAATTCTAAACCTCAGTTCATTAACTTAATGCTTAATTTTTTATTTTTTTAGGCCAATGATTTTGCAGTATATATAAGTTTTGAGTTTTTTCTTATAGTTTGTTCATTTTGGGACCGCAAAAGAATTGGAATCTTTTCAGTGTCAGTATTGGGATGGCTGCAGCTTCCATGTTTCAACTTTCACGTAAAATTCAGTAAGTAGTGGTCATTCACATATTTTCATTTTCTTTCTTATTTTGAAAAGTAATTACAATGAATTAATCATCATCCATTTCCGCATTTTCCAGGCATGACTTATCTCCCAAAAACCAACAAGCTGCTGCAAAAGAATCACTTCATCAACTTATTATAGAGTAACTTGGCATACCAAGTTGGGCACACTCTGATTTGAGTTATGTAAACTGATTATTACTTTTGTTGACGCTAAAAAATGGTTCAGCACTTTTTAGTCCAACTTAGAAATGAGGTGTGATGGATGATGGGTGAAGGTGAGGACCATCACCAAGTGTGTGAGAATTTGGGCAAGCGATAAATATACAGAAGGCAAGATTTACGTGGTTCACCCTTAATCAATGGGCTACGTCCACGGAGAAGTATATTCTCATTATTATAACAATGTGTATTTACATTTGTACAAGGGGTTGAGCCCAAATATAAAGAGACTAAAGATCAAGCCCAACCAAGGGGAGATCCCTTCCTAAGTGAAGTGTGGTCTCCTTTTATAGGTAAGAGGGAGTCTTCACTTCTTGCAATATTTCAATGTGGGACTCTGCGCCTTGTTTAGCATCGCTTCTAGTTGCTTGGTCGAATATGATATAAACAACTTTCTTTCTTTTTTTGAAATACAATTGATGATAAATTACGGAAGAGTGAGATTAAACTCGAGTGTAATGAATAAGCACACCGTGCCCAACTAACCCAACTATTTGTGTTATAATTACTTAATAAATTATATTTTTTTTATGGATTAATGTTGGATTATGTTTGTCAATAAAGCCCATTTTGGTAGCTGTGTCTTATGCTACGTTTTTCACCAATCACTCCATTTGTAATAAACATTGCTCCAAAAATTAAATGAATATAACAGACAAAGAGAAAGTTCTAAATAGAAAAATATATGTATATATACAAAAATCTAGAAAGTTCACTAGCTTGGCTAATCCCTTAATCCCTATGGCCATGCGCCAGCACATACGTAACATGCGGTCAACTACACACTGCTGTTAATGCTAGCTGCTAGTTGTATTGCAAGGCTGCTTTGCAGCATGATATGCCTATTACATAAACCAATTCATGAAAAACCCAAAGAATATGACATAAACAGGTGATGTATAAGACTTGGTATTTCTTAATGGTGAAGGTGTTCATGGAAAAGAGTTTAAAATGCCTTAAAAGTCACCTCTCAACAAATGAATAACTTGCTTGCTTTAGTAGCCAAATTCCAAAACCAGGGGATGTACAATTTTTTAATGGCTTTGACCAAATCATAAAGAGCCAGAATTTTGATTCTATCCTCTGCTTAAATATTATACAGTCCCTTTCTTCGTAGTCAAAAGGTATTAGATCGACAAAATATGATCAACATGTAAGTTCCTTTCTTCTTCCTCCTCAGTTTTGCTACATTACTTCAAACAAACAGAGAGAGAGAGGATCAAATTCTAATTTCATGGCAAATTCTAAGCTGCAAGCAATTTGGAACCACCCAGCCGGCCCGAAAACTAGTTCGTTTACTTCTCAAAATCTGGGCTATGTCCACGGAGAAGTATGTTCTCATTACGATAATGTGAGTATACATTGCACATAGGTTTAAACTCAAGGAGAAGAGGAAGAATACCGAAGGCCGAATACCGAAGACCGAAGGCTGAAGGTCGGAGGCTGAAGATCTGGCTGAAGGCCAATGTTCCGTGGGCTTGTAAATGGGCTCATGGGTAAGCCCATGAGGCCCAAGTAGCCTGCCCAACTCTCTCTTTCTTGAAGGGGAGAGGTCTCCTTTTATAAAGAAGGGAGAGTCCCCTCCTCTTGTGTTTTGTCAATGTGGGACTCCCTTCCCTTTGGCTTGGGAGTGTTTGGGGAGTGCTTGGCCAGATATTGTACAAACACTAATTTTAAAAATAAAAAAAATCCTCATCAGTTTTCAACAATCCCTGACCTCAGGTTATTGATTTTTCTTATGTCTCTTGTGTTTCAGTCAACCAAAAATGTGAAAACTACTGTTGTGATGCTAATTGTAAAAGAACATCAGAACCACTCATACATGTGTTTTAATTTTGCAGTCCATTTTTGGGCTCCAACTTTTAAATGGGGCGTAACCATTGCCAATATTATCGACTCTTCAAAACCACCTGAGCAACTCTCCTACGTTCAGCAATCAGGTTGGTTTAATAGATTTTTCTCTCTCTCTCTCTCTCTCTCTTTGTTTTTTCGAGGCCTCTGATAGAAATTTTTGTCATCCCCGTTTTATTTTCTCCAGCCCTTACATGCAATGGACTTATATGGGCAAGAAACAGCGCAATAATTATACCAGTAATTAATTCTAAACCTCAGTTCATTAACTTAATGCTTAATTTTTTTTTTAGGCCAATGATTTTGCAGTATATATAAGTTTTGAGTTTTTTCTTATAGTTTGTTCATTTTGAGACTGCAGAAGAATTGGAATCTTTTCAGTGTCAGTATTGGGATGGCTGCAGCTTCCATATTTCAACTTTCACGTAAAATTCAGTAAGTAGTGGTCATTCACATATTTTCATTTTCTTTCTTATTTTGAAAAGTAATTATAATGAATTAATCATCATCCATTTCCACATTTTCCAGACATGACTTATCTCCCAAAAACCAACAAGCTGCTGCAAAATAATCTCACTTCATCAACTTATTATAGAGTAACTTGGCATACCAAGTTGGGCACACTCTGATTTGAGCTATGTAAACTGATTATTACTTTCTTTCTATTTTTGAAATACAATCAATGGTAAATTACGGAAGAGTGAGATTAAACTCGAGTGTAATGAATAAGCACACCGTGCCCAACTAGCCCAACTATTTGTGTTATAATTACTTGATAAATTATATTTTTTTTATGGATTAATGTTGGATTATGTTTGTCAATAAAGCCCATTTTGGTAGCTGTGTCTTATGCTACGTTTTTCACCAATCACTCCATTTGTAATAAACATTGCTCCAAAAATTAAATGAATATAACAGACAGAGAGAAAGTTCTAAATAGAAAAATATATGTATATATACAAAAATCTAGAAAGTTCACTAGCTTGGCCGCGGTAAATAATCCCTTAATCCCCATGGCCATGCGCCAGCACATACGTAACATGCGGTCAACTACACACTGCTGTTAATGTTAGCAATATTCCCACATATTACTAAAGTACGCTGCCTCTTATTCTGCGCCCCCATTCCTATATAAAGCATCTGATCGTCAAAATTCTTTTACAATTTGACGTCTTAAAAATTGAGCTGATATATAGGACAACGTAATTCTCAGAATATCCGCTTCTCAGAAAGCCAGAGTTCGATCATAATCTGAGTAAGTCATCCCAATTCTCAATCTGGGTTTCTTCAATTATGGATTTTTCTTTCATAATTTCATTATTGAGGCTTAATTGGTTTCAAAAATCTCTGTACTATTCAATTTAGTTCGTTCATTTCTATGCCTATGGATTATGTTGCTGGTTTGAAAACTGTTTGCCCATTTTTTTTTTTCTCAGTTTGAGCTGATTTTCATTGAAATTTCAGGTGAATTCTTGTTTGTTTTTGTTGTTTTTGTCAGTGGGGTAATATTAGGTACTTATGGGTGCTTTTGATTACCGCTAAAGTGGAAAACTTTATGTGGGTTTTCTATCTTATTTCAAAATTTTGATGGTGGAATGAAGAAATTATAGTTTTCATTGGGTATTGAAAAGACTGATGATTTTCACTTAGCTTTCTTCATTATTGTATTTCAGTAAATAAAGTTTAAGAATTTAAGTGTGCATCTTGTATAAGTAATTTTGGTTTGTTGGTAAATCTGCATACATTCTTATATATATATATATATCAGAAGTTGACATTTTCTCTTT